TCAGTTCAGATTTGGTACGCTATTTGAGATTAGGAGTGACGTAACTGTATGTACATGTATGACATGTGCAGCTTACAACTTACTGGGAAGAGTTTAGCTGCTGTGGCAAGAAGCAGCAGGGCCTGGTTGTGTGTCTGTGGGCTTTCTGATGACCTTATACACTGAACTACCAACTCCACATCAAACTGGTCCTCGGCAATAAGATCTACAATGAAAGAAACAAAAAGGTGTAAAATGTGTCATCACGAATCCTTCTAGATTGAAGTGTACAGTACGTGCTTTGTAGCATTGTAGAATGGAGTGTTGAAGATGAAAATCAAATTTTCCTATGTAACATTTTGAGGGCCCAAAAAGTTATCGTGAACAGCTATTAAATTTTCCCACTTGTATGGAGCAGTTTTTAATTAAGTGCCATAAAAAAGGGTGATGTAACAGCTCTCGTAAGGTGTCACATGAATGGCTTGCTACCCTTTGAGAGAACAACAGAACAAACAACAGAAACAATACCCCAAGCCCTAAAACAATAACAGCTGCTAACATTGAAAAGAATTATAAGCTTATGAGAACTGCTACACTTCTGTAAAAAAAACCTTAAGTAATCACTCTAGCCAATCACAAAGGACACAGACAATCCAATGCACCAATTAAATCTCATTAATACAGTTACTGATTGATTGCAACAACATGTAACTGATGCAAAGTGCGGGAAAGTGTGTGCAAATGAGCTAGGATTGATTTTGGTTTTACTTCTGATTGGGTAAAAAAAGTCGCGCGAGTATTTGTACGCCAATAGTGTAGCGTAAAGATGCAAAACAAATTACTTTTTGACACTCAAGTGAAAACCGTGCGTACTGTTAAACCATTTATATTTGTTAGCCAAACAGAAAACTAGTATGTGATTTCTCCTGTTTGGTTATTGAAGCCATTTCATCACTTATATTACTCAAGAAAATCAGTCTGCAATCATTGTCTAAAAGTCAACACGCTTTTCTAGTTCTGTGAAGGCTGATTTAGACAGTTTAGTCAGTGCCACATCTGACCAACTGAATGACCAAGTCAATGGCAACTTGCAAATCAATGGCAAATTGTTCCATGTAAATCAAACTTTCCAAATGCTTGAAGTGTCTTATGATGACATGAACAATCTCACAGGATTTTCAAATTTGTTTTAAAATCCTACAACAATAAGTGTAGCATGAGGCAATGTTGTTTTATGACGAAAGGAGCCCCTAAAGTAATGTTGGTGTGAAGCACACAGTACAGAAAATCACGTGCAAGAGTTGTGCCTTTTTAAATAGGCCCTTGCACTGTGGAAGACTTAAATCACCCTTCAAATACCACCTTGGTTGGCGAGTATTGCAATCCTGCAATCCCCCAATCCCGACTTATAAATATCTATACATTGTGGGGTCCTGCATGCATGATATTTTTACTTAATGGTATTGAAACCAACCTGAAGGAGAAAGGCTGTTGTTTGGAGAAAGTCTGTGACAAATACTGTTGATGAGAGTAAATACCAGCTGCATGATATACTCAGATGCTGTCTGGCTGTGATCCAGTTCCACACACCTGATAGAAAAGAAAACCATGCCCATCACACTTCTGAGGTAAACTACATAATTTATTTAGTCCCTCTCTTTAAGAGAGTCAGGCTCTACTTAGCCTCCTTGTAGATGCTCTTTAGGCTCGTCACGCTATCTTTAGAAATCTGGAGGAAGATTGTGTGACAAGCGCAAGAGGCTAGGCACTACTTACAAGTACATGTAGGACATAGNCAAAAGGCATTTTATCAAACCAAAATGCAGACTTAATCCCACTTGAGCACATGTAACAAGAAAGTCTTTCGGTGTTTGTGAAACTACATGTAAACCACATGTACAGATATAGATAATGGGTACATGACTTGCACTTTACTTTATATGCTGGTGTACAGTACACAATTCATTATTAACAAATTCAAATCTTCTAACCTCCAGTAATGAATTCTTGACTGCATTTCCTACAGTAACATCTTTTGTTTCTAGCAGAGTGTCAACAAGAATCTTAAACAGATGCTGTTTCACCTCCTCTGTTGGAATTGCTTGGAAGAATCTATTTGAAACCTGAGAAATCACAAACATGATCACTGAGCATGTAATCGGTGAGAATGAGCAACTTATGCTTTGGTCAACATAAAATGTTACCTACATGGTAGCCAATTAGTCAGATTACAACATTACTATATTCATTGCCAAGGTTTCCCTTCACAGGGTCTGGAGCTGCATTTTCAGGGACTGGAGCTGTATTTTTAGGGAGTAAAGGGCTAGTTTCATGAAGCAAGCAGCTGACACTGATTCAAATGTTGAAGGCACAAGCCTCTAAGGAGGTCTAGGGGTATGCTCCCCAGAAATTGAGAGGCTCTGAAATTTTATTTTACTCATTCGCAGAAATTGAAGTAGCCGGTTTTTTAGCAGGCAGCTGCCACACAATGAGACACCTGCTTATGGTCTCCTCACCTGGCCAAGTGCAGTCATGATTGGTGCTGGGTGTCCGGGACAGACAGCTGTTCTCAGCAACAACACTCTCAATAACAATTTCCAACATAAAGAATCGACTTGCAGAAGAGCAACAGTAGCTGGGCTGTACTTTTGCACTATCAGTTGCAGCAGGATACTCTCATCTTCATCTAAGTTGGCCACACTATCCTCACACTTGTCTACAAGTTGTTCAAGCACCGGTAAAATGGACTGTAGCATATCCTGCATAAAAGGGACAGACATTCTAAGTTGATAGGATCTATGATTTACCCTGAGACAAGCAATATGAGATAAACCAAAAAGTGGTCAAAACAGTAATAACTCCAAAGGATATTTACAAACTCAAGCTATAAGTGGTTACTGTAGACCTTTAGAGGTGTCTGGTGTTCAAGCAATATAGTGCACCTGGTTTAAACTGTAGATATCTAAACCTCTTGTTGTTTATATGTCAAACTATTTACTGTCCAAATTTGAAGGCAAATGAACAAATTCCCTTTAACCTGTAGCTTTCAAAAGGTGATTCAGATGTTCACATTTAGAAGTCGTGAAAAATTTGATAATAAAATTTATTGCAAAAAAAATTAGGAGTACTTCTACTCCCCCCTGGATGGGATGCTAGTCCATCGCAGGGTTGACCCACCCCCCCCTCCCCCAGCATTAGATTCGCCGGTACCCATTTATACCACCTGGATGGAGAGAGGCACCGTGAGAGTAAAGTGTCTTGCCCAAGAACATGGCACAATAGGGAGTTTAAGCATGACATTTACAGCAGAAGAAAAACGGCAAAGATTACCTCTGATTTTTTATTCTTTTCTTGTAATCCTTAAATAAATCACACAAAAATAGAAAAGTGTCTACTATTCACCGCAAATACAAATATTTTAACTCTACTGTACAGACAGCTGAAGACAGATGGCAAAAGTTTCATTTTTGCCGTTTGCCATTTGCCGAAAACGTCATGCTTAACCTCTCGAATGTCCCCGGCCAGGGCTTGAACCCGGACCACTCGATCCGGAGTTGAGAGTGCTAACCATGAGGCCACCATGCCTCCTACATTTGTAGACAAGAAAAGGTTATTTATTATGATTGTAATTTATTATACATCTAGCAAATCGTATACTCGTACCCCTGTTGAGCTCTCCCAACTCCCTATATGCATCCCTATGAAGGAACTATTTTCAATTAACACTGCTAACATATCATCATGCACAACCCATACCGGTGTAACAACATTCCTCAGAGATGACAGTATGATTCTTCTGACAAAGGATGGTGTTTCACTGGATACTACATACTGTAAGAGGAAGTTCAATGTGTTCTTGACAATCTTCACGGTTGCAGATGGCTTGGAATGAGGCTTGCCATATGACACAAGAGGTGCAAAAAACTCACCAAAAACTCTGTTACACATCAGGACCCAAAAGGAGAAAAATAGATTTAAGTTAAAATTAATAATCTGAAATGTTATTAACCCATTGACTCCTGGAGCTTTTTGCTAAAAACACATTTTTTTGGACATTTTGGACATTTTCAGGCTGGATATGGGCAAAATTAGCTCCAATCTACTAAAAAACGCATTTGCAACATGACAGCATGCCTTTCTTTCCGCTAGCATCGCATTTTACGACATTTTCGCTCAGGCATGCACTGAAATCAAAATTTTGAGAAAGTGACCTACGTCTTTAGGCTTTTCAATTTTTTNAATGACATGCTTAAAAATTATGAATCGTCCCCACAAAAGGCATTTTATCAAACCAAAATGCAGACTTAATCCCACTTGAGCACATGTAACAAGAAAGTCTTTCGGTGTTTGTGAAACTACATGTAAACCACATGTACAGATATAGATAATGGGTACATGACTTGCACTTTACTTTATATGCTGGTGTACAGTACACAATTCATTATTAACAAATTCAAATCTTCTAACCTCCAGTAATGAATTCTTGACTGCATTTCCTACAATAACATCTTTTGTTTCTAGCAGAGTGTCAACAAGAATCTTAAACAGATGCTGTTTCACCTCCCCTGTTGGAATAGCTTGGAAGAATCTATTTGAAATCTGAGAAATCACAAACATGATCACTGAGCAGGTAATTGGTGAGAATGAGCAACTTAAACTTTGGTCAACATAAAATGTTACCTAATAACTTCCGATCACATGGTAGCCAATTAGTCAGATCACAACATTATTATATTCACTGCCAAGGTTTCCCTTCACAGGGTCTGGAGCTGTATTTTCAGGGTCTGGAGCTGTATTTTTAGAGAGTAGAGGGCTAGTTTCATGAAGCAAACAGCTGACACTGATTCAAATGTTGAAGGCACAAGCCTCTAAGGAGGTCTAGCAGTTTGCTCCCCAGAAATTGAGAGGCTCTGAAATTTTATTTTACTCATTTGCAGAAATTGAAGTAGCAGATTTTTTAGCAGGCGGCTGCCACACAATGAGACACCTGCTTATGGTCTCCTCACCTGGCCAAGTGCAGTCATGATCGGTGCTGGGTGTCCGGGACAGACAGCTGTTCTCAGCGACAACACTCTCAATAACAATTTCCAACATAAAGAATCGACTTGCAGAAGGGCAACAGTAGCTGGGCTGTACTTTTGCACTATCAGTTGCAGCAGGATACTCTCATCTTCATCTAAGTTGGCCACACTATCCTCGCACTCATCTACAAGTTGTTCTAGCACCGGTAAAATAGACTGTAGCATATCCTGCATAAAAGGGACAGACATTCTAAGTTGATAAGATCTATGATCTACCCTGAGACAAGCAATATGAGATAAACCAAAAAGTGGTCAAAACAGTAATAACTCCAAAGGATATTTTCAAACTCAAGCTATAAGTGGTTACTGTAGACCTTTAGAGGTGTCTGGTGTTCAAGCAATATAGCACACCTGGTTTAAACTGTAGATATCTAAACCCCTTGTTGTTTATATGTCAAACTATTTGAAGGCAAATGAACAAATTCCCTTTAACTTGTAGCTTTCAAAAGGTGATTCAGATGTTCGCATTTAGAAGTCGTGGAAAATTTGATAATAAAATTTATTGCAAAAAAAATTAGGAGTACTTCTACTCCCCCTGGATGGGATGCTAGTCCATCGCAGGGTTAACCCCCCCCCCCCCCCCC